CCCTCCAAGGTTCAGGCGGTTTGATCAACCTTACAGTTGATTGACCCGCGTGAGGGACTCGAGCGCAGGGCATAAAATTTGTTGCTGTACTCCAGTTGCCGATTGTCGCGCAAGACATGAAACAATTCTTCGGCCTTGGCTTTGATGGCGGCCTCGCTCTGCCCTGGATTCTCGACGCGCACGCGATGCAGGATCGCGAGTTCTGTCATTTTCAGCCAGATGTCCTTTGACATCCGGCGAAAAGTCTTCCAATCGCTTGTGTATTTCACCGCCATCTTCCACTCCCCATCTTGGATGCACGGCTGTAAAACACCCTCATGCCATATGATGTCATGGCCCCACTGATCCTCGCCTGTGTGGGTGTGTTTGCCCTCCAAGAAATATATCGTGTCCGGGTCAGCACAGTAGCCTGGAGGAATTGCATCGCCTGGTGCGAGCGTCGATGCCTCGCCTGGTATCTCAACGTCGTCTTCTTCATTGCCACCGCATCTTCCAATGTCTTGCAATGCAGCACTCTCCGATGGGGCCACCATTGMGGCGATGCTTGGGGCGGCCACCGGGATGGACCCTACATGCGAATGGACAGTTCCGTCATCGTGAGCTTGCACCATTCCACCGCGCGGAACCTCAGCACATGTGTCCTTGCCCAGTTCGAGGTCGGAGTTCGAAGAATCTTCCTCGCTGTCGACGGGGTTAAAGCCATCGCCCGATTTCGCGAGCTCCGTGTAGTCCTTGGACGTCAATTTGTCTTTGCGAAGATCGAACTTGAGGATCTCGCATCGAGCAACAAAAGTCTCAAAGGCGCCAGTGAGAGCACCGTGATAATGTTTGAGGGTCTCTGTTGCCTTTGCTTTCCTGTATAAATATTTCCTGTCAAGTCGTCCTTGTGGCATATCGCGGAACAGGTACTCCCACACCTTCAGTCTCTTAGGCCCCAACTTGTGGAACATGTCCCTGTTCGGGCGATGTTTGGAACGCGGTTTCTCGACGTGGCAGTTGAATCWRTCGTCCTTGACAAGTATATCGATGAACTTTGTCAAGTATGCAATGTCCTTTGCCGACTCGTCACAGRCAATGACATTATTCCCTGCCAGTAAGAATTCCCACGCAAGACCCGCGTGCGCCCTACCCAATAAAAGCACACCTTCCGCCTCCCCTACGAATGACCCACACAACGAACGCAACTTGCCAGGCTCTCGCCCTCAGATGGAATACACCACACTTTCATCGCCCTCTATGCCACCGTGTTTCCCCAGACACTTCCCGAACTTGTCCTCCACAACATGCACGTTTGTGAGGTCATTGACAAGGCGGGGTGCGACCGTGACCTTTTTGAGATCCCCTCCCTCCGCGTGCAGGACAATGGCCATCATGTCTCGACTCGCCGTAGCGATATTGCCATACCTCGTGATGTCATTCGATGGCCTGTCCACCCGTTTCCAGGTCCTGAGGATGAGTTTGATGTCCTCCCACTGGAATAAGCAACGCAGAACATCACTTTGCACCTTCTGCGGTGCGAAGACAAAAAAAACCCAATTAACGCCACAACACTTAGTCATCATAGAGTGCAGAGCGTCGAACTCTTGAGAGGTCCATGTTGTGCAGATGTTAGTAGGGGAGATGTCAAGGATGACGGCCCTGCAGGTCATTTTTTGTGCCGCAGCGACGATGTCGTCAAGCACAGCCAGCACTTCCTTCAATGGCATGCACACCGGTAGCAATGTTGTTTGTTTTTTAAGTTTATCCCACACGATATGACGTGCGCTGGAGGCGACCCGTTTGACCTCCGCCCTAAGCAGATCGAGCTTATCGATTGAGGTGTATACAAACACCTTAAAGTGGAATGGAGCCTCCTTATACATTGCCGCCGTAGGGCCCAAGCCTGATCCTTGCCTTGCCTCCTCCAACCCTCCAAGCCGTCGAGGGACCGTCTTCACTTTGCTGACATGCAGCTTGTCCTGTTCCTTCTCCCATTCAGCTGCACACAGACCGTTTGGCCCATACGTGTCTTCGAGGTCCTTGTTGACATGAAGAAGGCATCATTCCACTCATCGTCCGCCCTTCCCTCGGCGCAAAAAACAACGTAGTTAAACATACGGACCATGTACCGTTCCTTGCGCATGATGTCGAGGAGGCACTCCGTATTCACTCTCGGAGGCATGACCTTGACGTTCGTCGCGACCACCTTCCGTTTCATGAGGAGGAGCAATGCAACTTCCCTCTCGCGGCACGTCAAATCCCCAAAATTTTTAAAGTAGGAAGGACAGAGATCCTTCCACTACACGGTGGAGCCTTTGGGACCATCTCTCGCGTATATGCAATAGTATAATGTTCTTTGCCCCTTCGTCTCGTCGGTGTACGAACCTGGATGGCGCCCCTCCATCCTACCCGACATGTCAAGCGGTATTTTACCATCGCCAACTGGCAGCTTCCCCTCGTTGAACATCTCGAAGAACTTCTCGACCAGTGACCACACAGCCTCGGTGGATGTGGCGAGGTTCATGTAGCCATGGAGTTTATTGCTCCAATCCTTACTGTACTCATTCTCNAGCGCTTGCTTCACGAACGCCTTGTCGCATGCCTTCCCCATGGAGGCCCTTAAGAAATTCTGCCACTTCTTTTCGTGTGCAACGGCGACCGCATCCTTATCGCTGACCTTGCCTTTCGGGGCCTCGATTCGATGGTTATCGATCCACCATTGCCTCATATCACGGACAGCATCCTCGAAGGACAACATCATGGCCCGATTTTCGCGCGTGTTGTCGAAGGCGGAGACATTGAAATACCCTCGCGTCTGCTCATCTCCAAAATAGACAACCCGCATCTTAGAATACGCGCGAAGGCCATAGACGTYGACTGCCGGAGAGCCCTTTTTTACCAACGTCTTCATGGCCTCGACCGTTTGCTGACCACAGACAGCATACCAATCGAACTCAGAGGAGTCTCTTTCGAATAATTCGGTCAGTGTTATCCGCCGACCCTGCTCGCCAACGATGTCGTTGCGGTCAACCGGCGCAAGCACGAGCTCAGGCCTATCCCACGCCCCCGGTTTCGTGGTGATGGAACTCTCGATGGCATTCACGATGCCTCGCACAATGTTTGCAGACGAAGAGCGGTGGTTGAAAAGAATATTCCMGCGGGGAATGCGTTTGATTTTCATGACGTCCACAAGAACAAGAAGGACTTTTTGCTTAGCAAAACACTTCTCGTCGTATTCAAGGAAGAAACAACGCGTCGTGTCGATGGGCGCAACGTGCTGAAGCGGTTCATCATCATCGTCAGGCATGCGAGGGCCCACTCCCTCGCCCTCATCCCYTGAGTCCCGCAGTTCTTCTGCCCTCACTATCTGCTTACCTTTTCTTGCGCCACCACGACCGCCGCCACGACCGCCAGATCTCCCCCCCTGGCTGCTCTTCCGAGGAGCTCTCGCCTCCTGGGATGCCACCAGAGCTCCACGAGCCTCATTAACAACGTCAGTCCTCGCTTGTCTTTTGTGAGCGGAAGCAGAAGGAGAAGTTTCTCTTGTCCTTTTCCTCGACTTTGATCCTMCGTGCTCCTGCGAGTCATGCCCACCATGACTCCCGCCTTGCGAATGCCATATCGSAGGGGACGACAAGGGCCGACCAACAGCCGCTCCCACAGAACCGGTGGGGATGTGGCCAGGGCCATGCTCCGACATGACACCGACGTCGTCATCGCCAAGCATGTTTTGGTCCTGCGTGTTCTCATCCCCAACGTCCATATACTCGTCATCACCATTGTCTTCACGTGGACCGCAGCTTCCCCATCTTCTTCCTCCTCGTTTCGCTCAGTGAGGGCAGTCGCACCTTCCTGGGCACTGTCACTCGCAGCATTGCGTCCGTACAGATTTCTGTCGTCGTACTCCATAGCCTCGCTGGAACATTGAGTGATATCGTGACGTCCCCTCACCGTGGGCAAGGGCGAGGGTGACGCGGCTGGCAAAGGTGGAGCTGGACAAGCAGCCAACTGTTTCCTCTTCCCAACTGGTGCGGATGGCGTCTGTCGCGATTTCCTCGAGCTTGTGACAAAGGGCACGAAAGCGCAGTCGGCTTGCTGGTCCAGAGGCAGCCTCGAGAAGGCTTCCCTGTACTCCTTAACAACGCCTGGCAGTTGGTCCGCCGGGCTGCTGAATTTCA